TCATATCTTGTGTAAGATTAAAGTAACATACTGGATGTATTTTCAGGATACTTCTAACACTCAAGGGGTTATTTAATTATGATTGCTTTTATAAGTGTATATTTTAAACTTGATATGACATGATTATAACATTTTTGCTTTTTGTACAGTGTACTCATCTGCCCACTTTTCCTTGTCATGGATATACTGGTTTGATTTACATTTCAGGATTTAACATACTGATCTATGTCTCATTCACATTCAATATGAATTCACTTAATATTAACAAACCCATGAAATGAGCTTAAACAAAGTATGCAACAAGGTAAATTAATTGTTTAACTGTGGCTATTAAGATGTTGATTAAAAAGTGTTTATTTAGCCATGTTGACTGTTCATTGTTCAATGTTCAATATCCATTTATTGGAAACAGGTCCACTTCCTGACTTCCAGGTCAATTGAGATTTTAAAATGCATAATTAATAAAGGTTATCTATTTATCTATTGACCGAGTGTTGCAAGTGTTCTTTGGTCATATACACAATTATGTAGACCTGTTTTACAAAGGCACTTAGATTCCATTTTGTTAAACACATATACTTAGTTTTACAAATATGAAATAGATACCAGCTGCTTTTTTGTAAGGCCTTTATGGACAAGTTGGCTACCTCAATATTAATTCCTGTTTTGGAGAGCTTTTCTCAGATTTTCTATATTACACTTTCAGTATGTGGCCACTTTCTCAATATCCTAAGGTAGCACTACTGTATTATTATTGTACTTCTTATTAATGTTGACAAAATGACTAAGGATTCTATAAAAGAGAAACCACATTCTTTACATTCTCAAACAGCATTCCTTAGGCCAAAAAAACAAGACAGGCAACATTATAGTTGTGGCCACTCATACTCAAATAGTTTAGCTCTGCATTGGTTAAAAAAAGTAGGGTAACTGCATTATAAATCAGGAGACTGCACACGCAGCGGTAATTCAGATTTTAATGAAGCTCATTATGTAACCCATTTTGTTATTTAGACTTTTAAGAGGACAGATACTGGGACTGAATTCGGTGGATCTCAGTATCTTTTTGACATGAATAGTGTTTTGCATCGTGACAGACCCCATCATTAAATAAGAACACTCCAGAGATTTGAACAGGGATAAAAACAACGCTGGCGATCGTGGGGACTGCAGGAAGCTTTGTTTCAAAGTAGACTCCAAAGCAGCCTCCCTGAGCTAAACCCAAGCATCCAACCAACAACATGGGGCTCTTTTATCAACAGACTAATTATCCCCATTTGAGAACGCAGCATAAACTACCTATAATAACCCCATTAATGAACTAATGCTCAGTTAGTGTCAGGTCAGTGGCTATTATGATCCCTTGCTAGAACAGCCTGCCACTTTATTTTACAATGACTTACCCCCCTTTAAACCACGATTAGCACTCCTATTTGTTTTCACTAGATCACACAATAGCAAAATATATTAATTGCCTTCTAAATGTAGAATGTTTTCAAGGATAACTTATCACCATTATATAAAATATCAGAGTTGTGACTATTGCACAAGCATCTCTGTTCTGTTGAAAAGTATAAAGACAGATGTCTGATCGATTAACTCTCAGAAATAAATGTGCAACTATAAGCATTTATATCAGCAGCATAAAATTAGTGACCAGTGTCAGCTTTAACTGTAAACACTACCTGAGAGATTGGTAAGATAAAGAAGCCAACAGCTGTGACGTGAAGCAAAAAGCAGCTAAACTTGTTCCATAATTAGAAGAGTTGTCATCTTTTTGACAGAGAAATCGAATTAGCCATGGATACTGTACTGTATGTATCTTGAACATGAGAATCATGGTTCAGGGTTGTTTTGGTGCCTCAGGATTCAGACAGCTTGCCATCATAGATGAATCCCTGAATTCAGCATTCGATTAGCAAATTCTACAGGAAAACGTCAGGCCACCCAATTGTCAAACGAAGCTGAGCCAAAAGTGGGTCATGGAGGAAGACAATGACCCTAAATATACAAGTAAAAGATACAAGAGAATGGCTTTCTACTTTCATGAAAAAATCATCACATTTTATATCTTAAATATACAAGAATACAGACAAATTTAGAGGGTTTACAAGCTTTTTCTCAGTACTGCATATCAACTACTGGGGTAGAGTTTTGATTTTCAGTACTCAATCTCATTTCTGAGAGTAGTGTGGTGATATTCTGAGATGTAATATTCTGACTGTGATATTAGGGAATGGAATTATTTTGTGCCTTTATTACTTTCTCTCTGCAAAACGTCCTCAAATAATCACTTTATCACCTATTTTGTACTGTTCTCCACGCGCAGTTGTCATAATGTCTTGTGTCTTTCTCATCCCACACACTGTTTAGTCTTAGAAATGTGGTATCATTGACCCATTAGTGACCATTAGTATCAGAAGAACGGTCTTTTCTGATCCAGGTTTATGGACCAGTTCCTATTCTAAATGTTTTCAATTTTTCAGGCTGCAAATCCTCACCTCACAGTAGTGTATTGCAAACCCAACTCATTTTTTCTTTGCTATGAAGTGGTCTGTGATATTATAATTAGAATGGCTAGATTCTAGATACTGAAGGAAACTAATAAGCCTTTAGCTCTGAGCCACTATTTCTTTCTTTGTTTCAATTTCATTTGTTTCTGCTTTTTGCTTTAGTCACTTTTTGGGACAATGATCATTATATCTATACCTCTCGATGACACTCTGCGTACTATTATGCAAAATATTGAGTATCTCATAAAATGGCATTCCTTGTGAAAGGTAATTTTGATAACATGATTTGGACGTACTGTATTTCATAATCCATTTGGGGCCATAATATTGTGTACTCCTGCTTAATGGTTTCAGTACAACACTGAGGTTAAAAAAATGTTTAGTTTGCTTTTGCAAGTGTACACAGAAGGGATGAAATAAATTCCAGAAGGCACATTTACTGTTTAAAGGTAGTGAAGCTTCTCATTTGATCAAAACCACATAATATTCCCAGTAAATCGACTTGTAGGGAAAGGATTTGCTCTTCAGAATGAATGGTAATACCACTGAATACAGGCAAAATAACAACCATACATATATTACATTAAGAAGAGGGTTTGAGGTACCTCTTATTCTCTGGTCTCATTCCTGTTTAGACAATATAGGGTGAGACTGCTATGAGGGGAAATAAGGAAAGGTGCAAATCCCATATTTTTTTATAAACATGAGACTCATATGAAATGCGATTACGGCTATGCATTAATAAAGATGTACAGTAGAATTCCCAAAGTGTGAAAAACATCTGCAGCAAAACTGGGAGAATGTGTCTTCTGCTTTATCTTCAGCTGGCCATTTTTCATACAAATCAATATTTTATAATGATTCTGCCCACCTTACTTGCATTTCTCTAAAATTTTCCTTCCAAACAGACAAAGAAGGTAAGGGAGATAAACCTCTCAACAAACTAAACACTAAATGTAAAACAAAGACACGGTAACTTCTCATAAAAGAGCATAGTTTTGACACAAAAGCTTAAAATTAAAAACAGAAATGTCCCTCTTAAAAACATGTAAAATTCCTCTTGAAGATGAGCCACATTAACTGTAAATAATTTTACGTCACAGTGATTTAAAGAAGTATGTTCAGGAATCTACGAAAGAGAAGTACAATAAAAAGTAAAGACATTTCCAGACATAATACTGATTTTTACAGTTATATTAAGCGTATAGGGAAAAACAGCACACTGTTCCCGTGAGTTAGAAAGAGGCCACCCATTCAAAATATCTCTCCATGCTTAACTGTATTTAATGTTTAATATCTGCCCTACATTCCTTGTCTAACACAGTCAGCAAAACTGTGACTAGTGTAATGTTAGTGAAAGATTCAAGGCAATTTTCCAGAACAGTCGCAACAGAAAATCCAGCATTGATAAACAGAGCTCTATTCTGAAACAAAGGTGAGATCAAGGATACATACAGTACAGGCATTGTTATTTATATCATTGGAACTTAAATGCCCATTTTCCCCAGTGTGACGGGATTGGCATTAAAGCTGATGGCATCACTCTAAAAGTGCACAGAACATAACAAGACAGTAAGCTCTAGAAGGACAAAATTACTAAATCTTTGCAACAGAAAAGTAAGACTATATATAACTTTCTTACAGTTGCAGAGGAATTACTGCAGAGGAAACATGAATAAAGGAAGAACATAAAAATTCCACACAGATGGTACCCCAGGGCGTCAGCGATGCTTACCACTGACCTTAGAAAGTTTATTTTAACTACATTTACAGACATTTACTAATACTTTAATACAATCTGAAAAGGAGCCTTTTAAAACTTGAAGTGCTTACACTTGCTCTGCAATGGGCATGTTATTTGATTTCCTGCAAAATAAATTTTGGAATCTGATACATACTGTACTGTTTAACCTGAAGAGTATTTAACAAACTGAAACAACTTTAAAGTAAATGTCATGGTCATTTAACCCTTTAGGACACAAGTACAGTACCTAGTTATGTAATTATACATATCTCTTAAGCCTTATACAAAGTCAAATTAGCAAGTCACTTTAAAGACTTACTGTACATAATGGAGATTTAATAAAACAAACGTTGGAAAATTCCAGATTGAGCAATAGTTGTACAAATTTCCTTGACCTTAAATTAGAGGTCAAACTGAAGATCTACTAGGTTGTTCATTTATCTAGCCTGACAATGCTAGACATTTGGGAAAACTGAAGGCTATTAAAATAAAGGGTCACTACTACAACGTCCAAAAATATATCCACATTCCACTGCGAACAACTTAAAATATACAGTAGTGTCCGTGTTCAGCAAAATATCAAAGACCCTTAGAAAAAGTTTCAGACTCCTGAAATACTCAAAAAGGTTTTACACTCAGCACTATACAGTATATTGTCAAAGCTGTCCCTTATCACAGAACCTGCTTCCAAAATTACAACAGTATTACATTTGCACAAATCTGGCACCGCACATAATGCCTACCTCTCGTCTGATTTTGTATCCAAAAACCATCATTGATTTGTAGGTGGTGTGACTGACCCAACATCCCAAGCACGCTCAATACTGCAAACACTGACAATTGACTTCTTCGCAAGAGTAGCGCCAAAGACACGCACGTCCTGTAACAAGTCTATTTCAGTCCACTATTAGCAACATATGGCATATAAAAGCGCATCAAACCAAGGGAGAAATCAACTCTCGGGCACACGTAAAGTGTATCTGCAGGTCACATACAGTAGTAGTTAATTTTCGCTATCCGAACGCATAACACGACCCTTGTCTCTTCGCAGCAGAAGCACAGTTTCTGTAGTAAAAATGAACAGCTTGGATAGCTTTACACCACCTATAGTATCGGACAAGTACATGTGAAGACGGCAGCGGTTATGTTCAGGGTTAGTTTCTGCTCTTTAACTAAGCATATTGCTCTACCCACATGACCAGTTAAAATCTGACACAGCGCCTATTTATTTCTGTGAGCAGAACTGAATTTTCATATCTCAGTGATGATCTACTGTACGGCATGCACCGACTGTAGCGCTAACCAATCACAGTCAACTAGTTTTCAGGTGGATATTATCGTTGCATTATTTTCCCCAGTTGACATGATACCCGAATGCTGAAGACTGACATTAACAATCCGTCCTTACCTTCAACAGCCATTCTATCACTCTTACTTTACTTCATTCATTATTCGTGTGGTGGCAATAGATCAGAAGTTCAATGCATTATACCAATCTTTTGCTTCTGGGCATCCGCAGCCAGTGACAAATCAACCTGCACTGCACAAACCGAGCCTTTGTGCCAAAGAATTGTGGGGGTTGTAGTTTATCCTATTTACAGCCCGTACGAAATGCGAATGATTTTTCAATTCTGATGTGCCCCGTATTAAATTACTGTTCAACGACTGAAAATGTAGGTGATGTTAATATTTTACGCAAAATAAATGTTTTGGTTATAGTTCTTATACATAAGGTTTTCGTAGATGACGACACTACAACACCCATGCAACAATTCATTTGGATTCCTTAGCTGCTAATTTAAAGGTAAAAAAAGAGGAAGCGCTTTCTCCGTATCTGTGTTTGCTATGACGACATTTGGTGGTAGGTAGGTTAAAGTGTTACAACATAGACAAAACAACCTTAAAATAAACTACAGAGACTTTGGAGTATGTGCAGTCGATGAAGGCTGGACAGACCTGCAAAAAAGAAAACCAGTCTTTCTGCGTACATTGAATGGCACTGTATAAACAGATATATTTAAATATAAACATCTGATGCCTTTAAGTTACTTGGAAATAAAAAAAAACCGTTTGTTGTCATTGAAAAAGTTGAAAATGACTTTTGATTATCTTTAGAGATGATCTTTGGCTACTGAGTATTATTTACAGCTCATAGTACTTTCTCAAAACATAAAATATCAGCATATTTTAGATGAAATAAAAGTATTGTAGCATTTTTTTATTTTTGAATTGAAAATTTAAATATAGGAGTAAAATGTCATCCTGTTGGCAACAAAGCAAAAATAAATACTCTTTATAAATAAGCCTTGTCATAAATGAGCCAAACTAGTCCTATCACATTCCTTAAATGACAAGGCACTGACACAAGGTGAATCTAGCACAGATTAACATCTTGAACTTTTTTTTTATGTCTGACTGAAACTTGTCATCGACAACATGATTGTTTCCTGCTAAACCAGATTTGCCAGCCACTTCTGATTTGGGTTAGAATAAAAAATTCCAGGAGAGGAGAGTGGACATGATGGTTAACATTGCTGATTCACAGCTCTTGGGTCCTGGGTTTGATTCTGAATTTTCTCCTCTTGAATTTGCTCCTGGATGCTCCAGTTTGCTTCCACATTCCAAAGACAAGCTGGCTTGTGCACTTTTCTGGCCGGAGCGGTGGCTCTGTGGCTCAGGATCTGCGCCCGTGGCTGGAAGGTTGTCGGTTTGTATCCCGTGGCCGGCAGAGGAATCCTACTCTGTTGGGCCCCTGAGCAAGGCCCTTAACCCTAGCTGCTCCAGGGGTGCTGTATAAATGGCTGACCCTGTCACGATATTAGTTCCCCCTCCTTAAGGGTGCTCCAGCCCTTTCACTTAAGACTTCATTCTCACATTCCTAATACAAGAAATTGTATATGACCAATAAAGTGATCTGATCTTATCTCTTCCTGCCCGAATGTAATTGCTCTGTGCATTCCTGGGATAGACCCCAATTGCTGTGACCCTTTCTGGGAATAAAAAGCTTTCTCATAATGAATGGATGGCAAATTCTGCAAGCAAAAATAACTATTTTTTCCCTGAATGTTTTTAAATGCTATCCATTTTCTATTTGAATTTTTACACTATTTGAACTAAAGTGGGTCTAAATATTCCTATTGATTTCCAACATTACCCATTGGCGTTCAAATTTTTAGCTGTTTTGGACTGCTTTAGCCTTTTTCCACTGTGCAATGTCCCCACTCACTGTAATGGATATACTGTAGACTTAGTTGTTACTACAGATTCATGACATGGCCAGCAGGTGCTCTAGATTATAGGCTTCTGCTCTAACATTAACATTACCACTAACATTATAGCCCCTGAATAAGTAAACTGTTCTTTATACTTGCTTTTCCTCCTGGTGCTGTATATGGATCAGCTGCACTCTCAAGGCTCCCCACTGAAGGTTTGAGCATAAAGGGAGGAACTGCAGGCAAACTGTTCATTTGGAGGCCTGGAAACATCAATTGGATTCTGTTGTCTCTGCCAGAACCGCCTCTTTTTCTTGTCTTACTGAGAACGGACATGATAATTCTAGGCTTCTGTTTTCCACAGTCAGCTTGGTTGCTGGAGCCAAACTGCTGTTCTGCACTAATGGCCTCATGAAGCTTATGCAAACTTTTTTCTGGACTTTTTTGAAACATAAATTCTAACCTTTATGAGATTTCCAGTGCCGCCTTTCACACTGTGAATTAACTGTTTGCCCGCTTGCAGGATTAACTTGGCACTTCTGGTACTGCCTTTACTTGGTTTGGGTCCTACAGTACCTCCCTAAACAAAAGCAATTTCATAGGCTTCTATGCTGGGACCTCATTTGTTCAGTACACTAGAGGCTAACACTTGCCATAATATTTAGGTGTCAAAGTATAAAAATCCATCTTTGTATGCTCATGTGTACAAACGCTCTTAATCTCATATTGACGTGGTTGTCTCTGTGCTCACAAATTGTATTACTGATGTTAAACTGTGGATGAACCTATAACAAAACTTGTAATCTGTTGTTTACAGAAACCTTTGATTTTACCAAATGTTACATGTGGCCTTGCAATATTTTATCCTTATTTATTGTGCAGCTCTTTAGGATGCTTATAATATGGAAGGTGTTTGTACAGCATATTCAGATGTTGCAGATAAGATGAACATGGAAGACAATCATCCTGGCATTTGGCAGCCATCTGGATATGGCTTAACAGATCAGTCTTGGAAAGACAGACTCTGTTTAAGTCTGGGCGAATGTTCCTTATTCCAATAGGCATATCTAGGCTATTGATCTGCTCCGTATCACTCTGTTTCTGTTCCTACTGTTGTTTCTCCTGTTATTATCATATAGTTTCTACTGTAAAATCCTGTGATCCTTGCAGCAGACTCAATCCTTCCTCAATCAGAGGTCTGTCATGGGCAATAGTCAGTCAAGAGTTGGTGTTCTTCATGCCGGCCTGGAGGTCATTCTAGAAGGGTTTTCTATGCCCTTTTGGACATACAGTATGCTGTGTCAAATCTTGGAGACAAAGACTTACTTTAAGAGTCTGCAGATCAGCTATAGTCTTTGGATCCTTCTGTTTTTTCATTCCAGCCCAATGGTTTCTTCTTTCCAAAAAGGCTTTGTTGAAAAATCTTTCACACATTTTCTGTTGACCACTTCTGTCTAATTTCCTAAATAAATAAAAGGAGATTAGAAATATTGGCTTATTAACCTAAAGGCCTGAATATTGCTCCATGGCAACAGTAACAACACTGAACAGCAATCTCTGAAAATAATTTAAAATGTTATCTGTAATGAAAGAGGCTGGTATTAAAAGCATAAATTCTGTATTGAGTGGTTATTGTTATTTGCTTCACGTTATTGCTTACAAGTTTCAGTGGGAAGAGCATAAAGCTTTTTTTCATTTTTGACTGTAGCCATTTATCTGATTTCCCTAGGCAACATATCACAGCAACTTATTTGTTTATTCATGAAAATTGTTTATCCAGGACAGATCATTTGAGGATATTAGCCTGCTTTTCATTTAAGTTGTACGCCTATAAATAACTCATATGTAGAGAACTAATGATACTGGCAGAGATAAAAAGCAGTAAAATCAATTATAGATTAAAACTAACAAGATCTTTGTTCTTCATAACTTCATAGCATAATTTTCAGCGAGTTATTTTGTTTTCAGAATGGAGAGTTTCCATGACATTTTCCTCATACATTTTGAGGACAGGAGGCAGTTAAAGATACAGTAAAGGGTTTTGGAAGTATGGAACATGATACCCACCTTTAGTTGTTACGTTCCACATCCCTTCTCTAGAGGGAGCTCCTACCCTTTTCTGTTATGATTAGGTTCTATTATTTCCCGGTGTGTCTCGTTTGTATTTTGGTCTCCGGAGTTCCTGGCTCAGCATTGGAAGACGGAGGCCCAGAAGCCCACCTACCAGCGGGTCCAGGAGGGGCCCGATGGCGTAGGCTTCACCCCTGCGTCCTGACCTACTGAGTCCGGGGCTCAGAGCACCTGGTCCCATTAAGGTTTTAGTTCTCTGTGTTTCCAGTCTCGGTTTCCCCTTTCCGGGGATTTTAACTGTCTTCGTCTAGGATGGATCTCCCAGCATTTGGATTATGGACTGCGCCCTGATAACCCTTTTTTGGACCCGTTTGGACTTAGTCAGCCTCCCCCTGTCTGTCAAACCGGTCCAAACCCTGCTGTATCTTCCCCTGATGTCCTTAGCCAGACTCTTCCGGATTATACCGTCCTGCATAGGGTCTTTAACAACGCATTTCACGGGAGTCTGCCCTGGCTCCCGTGATATTGTTTAACGGGATTTCTTGACTTCCTTCAAGAAACAGCTGGAATAAATCCTTGGATCAATAAGCTACTAATTGATCTGAATGGTTTACATGGACCAAATGGCCTCTTGTCTCTAACCATCCTTATGTTCTTTATTAAATCTCTAGACACTGACAGACTGTTTCAGTAGTAGGACAGTCTAGGACAATCTTCCTTGAAAAATGATTTGATGGTCTCCACACACATTGGATCTGGGGTCATGTACATTATGTAGCCATATTTTAATGTTTTTTTTTTTCGTTTTTCCATTCCAATTCTCTATTCAGTGATTGTGTATTATTTGGGATCTGCTCCTTTCACTTCATTATCCTCATTCTTCCAAACTTGAAACGTTTCCCTCCTTGCATTGTACC